CCAGTGATCATTTTTCCTCAATCCAGCAGCCTCTTCTAAACTCTAGCCTATCTGGACTCCTTTTCAGTCTCATATTGATGTTTTTCCCACCCTCTTTTGATAGTCTTTTAATTTACTTCTAATTCTGTTAGCCATTTTTTGTATGTATTCTTGTACTTCTTCTTTGATGTTAAATTTAGACAACGCTCCACATATTTTCCTCATCCCCTTTGTCTTCTCTATATATCCCTTTTCCTTGATGATCTTTTCATCTGCTTCTGGAGCTTCATCTTTTGCATCTATGTGGATTCTAAGTGTACATTGTTAGCTTTAAGTTCTCACCAGAGACCTGGACTCAAATTCAATGGTTTGTGCTAGTCTCTAGAGCAGGGGTTCTCAAACTTTTTAAACAGGGGGCCAGTTCACTGTCCCTCAGACCGTTGGTGGGCTGGACTATAGTTTAAAAACAACTATGGGCTGGGCGTGGTGGCTCACGCCTGTAATCCTAGCTCTCTGGGAGGCAGAGGCGGGCGGATTGCTCAAGGTCAGGAGTTCAAAACCAGCCTGAGCAAGAGCGAGACCCGTTCTACTATAAATAAAAAATAATTGGCCAACTGATATATAAAAAAAATTAGCCGGGCATGGTGGCGCATGCCCGTAGTCCCAGCTACTCGGGAGGCTGAGGCAGGAGGATTGCTTGAGCCCAGGAGTTTGAGGTTTCTGTGAGCTGGCTGACGCCACAGACTCCATATGCCTGGACAACAAAGCGAGACTCTGTCTCAAAAAAAAAAAAAAACAAACTATGAACAAATTCTTATGCACACTGCACATATCTTATTTTGAAATAAAAATACAAACGAGCAAAAACACCCGCATGTGGCCCACTGGCGGTAGTTTGAGGACTCCCGCTCTAGAGTATTCCCTTTGGTACCTCAGTTTCAACCAAATTTAACTCCTTTCTTTGGCTCCCAAACCTATTGTTTTTTATGTACTTTTTGTTCTTTCATAATTTTCTCCTTTGTTGATGGGCTAACAAATCTCTTGGTCACAAAATTTGTAATCTTTGATTTCTTATTCTGTTGTATACCCCATTTAAACTGCCATGAAATCCTATTGATTTTTTCTCTGAATGTTTCTCCCATTTCTTTCTTTCCTTCAATGTCTCCTGTTTGCCACGCCTCTTCTTTTGAGATATTAAGACTTTCATGAGCTGGGCTCGACCTACTTTTTCAGTATAATCTCTTGATACTCACTTTTTAACACCAGACATGGTTTTAATCATTTAAGCATTCATAATCTGAGTCTCTATAGTTATCTTTATGTTATGGCATTGATGCCGTTCATTAAGGAATCATACAATTTAAAAATTATAATATGTAATCAACAGTTCATTCATTATAAGAATTAGAGTTACAGTTACATTCTATATTTTATTAAACATAAGCTAAAATAAATCCATTTCAATGTTTTATCTTTCAAGGTAGCCTCTCCTTTAAATCCTCTCCTGATCTGCCCTTGTTATTTACAATGAAATTTTGGATCCTGTTTTCAGTAGCTGCCATTTAAGTGCCCTTTCCCTTCATACCAAGTATTCTCAGGTACCAGTATTCCTCTATGCCATGTAAATCAGCATATTTGTTCTTTGAACATGTGTGGGGGTTGTTCCCTACCTCTTTTGTAGTTAAGAGCCTAGGCTGTGGAACCAGGTTCAAATTACAGCTTCATCCTTTACTACTATGATGACTGTGCTTAAATTACTCAATCTCTCTGTGTCTCTTCATCTCTAAAGTGAGGATAATAATAGTATCTACTTTATAGGTATTTTTTTAAGATTAAATTGAGTAATACACTAAAAATACTTTGAATAGTGCTTGACATATACCATGCAATCAATAAACATTAGCTGATATTATTTTTATTATAACTACTAAATATATAATAATAATTATTATTGCTCATATTGTTTTCTTACCTTGGAATACCCTTTCCTCATCCTCTGCCTATTAAAATCTTACCTGTCCTTCAAGCCCTGTCTCAGATACTGCATCCTCCATGAAATTCTCTTAGTTGTCTCGGGTTGGAATTAATCTTGCCCTCGTCTGTGTTTCCTAAAACTTTCTATGTACTTATGTAACACTTAATATATAGCCTTCATCGTGCTGTACTTATTTGTGTATGTTCTTTGGAAAATCATTTATGACCGTGGAGGTCATTGTTGTTCATTCCCTTACAAGGGTACTTCGTTCACTGTTTTGCCTACGTTGGCCCTCAGACATTTGAATTGATTTAAAACTATTCCCTGCAACCTGCACATATTGTATATGGAGAGTATGTATATATATTTATGTGTACATACAGGACCCTTCTTTGCATAAGGCACTCTCATAAGAGCTATGAAGTTTACAAAAAATAAAAGAGATGTGCTTTTTAGATTAAACTACATATTTAAAAACATTAAAAAGCCCCTATAGAAACAACTTAAAAATGATGAAATGAATTAAAAAATTAGCCCAGCACGGTGGCTCATGCCTATAATCCTACTTGGAGGCTGAGGCAGGAGGATCTTTTGAGTCCAGGAGTTCAAGGCTGCAGTGAACTATGGTTGTACCATTGCATTCCAGCCTGGATGACAGTGAGAACCTCTCTATTAAAAAAAATTTAAAAAAATTTTTTAAATGATGCATGAACTGTGTCCTTACTACTCAAGACATACAATATTATCAGTACATTTGAAGCCCCTGTCTGTTCATTTTCCTTCACATCTCTCATCTCCCTGTCCAGAGATAGTCATTCTCCTGAGTTTTGTGTTAATAATTCCCTTGCTATTTTGCATGACATCTCCTTTACATAAGTAGAATCCTGCTGCATATACTCTTCTGTGAGCTGCTTTTTTCTCAAGATTATTTTATAGATCCATTCATTTCAATACATATAACTGTGATTCATTCATTTTCAGTGTTGCATTACATAGTTACGCAATATTTTTCTGTTTTATAGTTGATGGACATTTGGGTTGTTTTTGGTTTTGTTTGTTGTTTTTGGAAGTCTCAATTCATTTATTTTGTTTAAAGAGCAGTTTTATTGAGATATAATTCACAGATTATCTAATTTACCCATTCAAAGTTCAGTGATTTTTAATATAGTCACAGATATGTGCAACTATTACCATTGTCAATTTAAAACATATTCATTATCTCAGAAAGAAACCTGTACATTTTAGCTACCACTCCCTACTCCTACATCCTTCATCTCCCTGCCAGCCCTAAGCAACCACTAATCTACTTTCTGTCTCTATAGATTCCCCTTTTCTGGACATTTCATGTGAATGGAATTATATCATGTGGTCCTTTTAACTGGCTTCATTCATTTAGTATAATGTTTTCAAGATTCATCCATGTTGTAGCATATATCAGAACTTCTTTCCTTTCTACAGATGAATAATATTCCATTATATGGATATACAACATTTTGTTTATTCTTTTGTTAGCTGATGGACATTGAGTTATTTCCACTCCAGTTGTTGGGAGTATCAAATAAAGACTATAACGTAAGTATGTTGAATATATTTAAGAAATTTAAAAAGTGCGAATGGATTAGTCAATCTTTGGGGGTGGGAACATGATGAAAATCATGCTTAATGAAAGATACTTATGTAAATTCCTTAAAATGGCCAGCACTGGGGACCTTGCAAATGTAACAGGCCAAATGAACTTTTTGTTTCTTTTTGTGCATTGGAAAAAATCTTTCTTTCTCTGGGCAGTTGGAGGCCAAAGTTTAGTTTGAAAGGTGTGGAGTGCGAGGTGAGGTGAGGTGGTGATGAGGCCAGAGCAGTCCCTATGTTGTACAGTTGAGGACCTGGGAGTATGATGAGGGATATTAAGTTGTTTCATTGTCTTTCTGGGAAAAACTAATATTTTTACTTATTCAAATTTGAGGAAATAACATTTTTTTCTTTTTCAGTACCCTCCTTTAATTAGGATCTATCTAGTTTAACTTTTTTAGAGCTATAAATATGATTTGATTAAAAATTATAGCTTATAGTCATAGCTAGAATATCTTTAATTTTTGTTATAGTTTTTTGTCTTATCTATCAATTTTCTTGTCTTTCTCAATAGATTTTGCTAGAAATTCCATTAGACAGAAATGGTGAGATTCCTATCTTTTTTTTTCAACCTTATTCATTTTGAGGCGCTCACCCTGAGAAAGCCATAGAGAAAGCCCAAGTCTGCTATTTTTGTCTGGGCAAAATGAAATTTAAATAAGTTTTTTTAGTTGTATAAACTAAAAAGGTACATGCTTTGGCAGTTTGTAAATTGTTGACTCATTGCTGTAAACAAGATAAGTCAAATTAGATATTTGTGTCTGAAGAGATTTAATTGCTTGAATATAGCTGTATCCTTTGTATAGAAAATTCTCAGGTCATTATTCTATGATGTGTCCTTTTCCAGGCTATCTATCTCCTTTACAATCTGTCCAAAACATAAAGAAGATGTTTCCAGGCTATCTATCTCCTTTTTCAGGCTCTATCTCCTTTACAATCTGTCTAAAACATAAAGAAGATGTTTCCTTGGTTGATTCTTGAGAAAGCCCCAGGCATGTTGTAAAAATGTAAAGTGGAAGATTACTACCAACTTGTCCTTAGCTGTGGTTTCCAAACAAGGTGCTGTGGATTAAGGTAATGGGAGGCATGACCTGGGGCTTTCTCTCAACCCAGGAGAGCCCTCTGCCAGTCTCTCAGTTCTTTTTCTCCCTCCTGCTTTACTCAGCATACAACTGGATTGACAAGTGCTGCCAACTTAGTTTGGAAATTATTGTACAATACTGTTCTGTCATTCATTCTGCTCAAAATAATCTCATATATAGCAGCGCTCAAGTGAATTGCAACATGGTTGTGGTGGATAATTACTTAAATATTCAGTAGACTCTTTGAAGGGGCAATACTGTGTAGCAGAGCCAGATTTCTGGATTCCAGATCAACTTTGATATTTTGCTAGTTTTATGCTCTTGGGTAAATTGCTTACCTTTCAGTTTTTCTACCTGTAAGAAAGATAATGATAATAGGATTATTGTAGAGGCTAAAGAAATATTATATTTCAATGAGTCTAAGGTGTTATGAATTTTAAGACACACCATTTTTTAGGTACTTTTAAGAAAAAAACTTGCCTATTAAATTATGACATTACTTTTTCATTACACAGAGGTTTTTGAGTTATCTAGATATAAATTTTCACCCTAAGTTATTCTTGTACATAAAAAAAGGTAAAATATAAGATAAATAAAATTGACTAAGTTATTTCTGAAATCCTGTATTCAAAGACTGACTTGAGAGTTAAGTTTTACTTAAAGTCAGCAGGAAATTTCTGACAAATTAATGCTCAGTGACTTAGCTGTGTGTAGACTTGGCTCAAGCTTGTCATACCGGGCAGAGAGCGCGATGAGACACGCAGCGGCCAGTTCCCGCGGGGCCGTTGGGCCCTCTGGGCCTTCCAGGCCCTCGGGCTCCGCTCCAGGTGAGCTGGGGCGCCCCCCCCATGGGCCGCGGCCTCTGCCCTGTAGACACCCGGAGCCCTCGCTGTGGCTGCCCTCCGGAGAGGCCCAGGCCTAGAAGCGGCGGCGAACGTCTCTGGCAACCCCACCTCGGTGACCTGATGATGGCGGCGGCCTCTCTGAGGCCGGACTCCGCCGGCCGCCTGGTCTTTTGGCCCAGCCCTGCCCGGCCTAGGCAAAGCCCCTTCCAAGCTTACAGAACGCGGCGCCTTTGGGAGGCCGCGGGTGTGGCGGGGCGAGAAGAATGGCGACCGCCCAAACGCTGCGGAGGGCCGTTAGGGCTTGGAGAGCCCCAGAAGGCCGGTCTGTGGAGGGAAGCTCGGTCACCTTGGGCCGTGGAGCGGCGCAGATCCGGGTCTTGCTGTGCCCGCTCGGTACCAAAGGGGCGCGCCCCGCTTAGTCCTGACAACGACGACGGACAAAGGCCTTAACAGCCTGGAAGGTGAGCGGAGTCCGGGACGATGACGGGTGGAACGGTTAGGGGGCCTTCGGGCGGTTGGTCTTCGCTCTGCCACCAGACAGAAGGAAAAAAACATAACCACATTTGGAAATGCCCACCACCCTTTGGGAAGATTTACTGGCCAATTATAGAAGAAGGCCTGTGTATATAATATGAAAAGGCTGCTCTCAACTTTTCCCCCAACCTTTTAAAAGAAAACGTTTACTACATCTAATCCTTCTAGAGATAAAGAGGTTGCCGACGTATGATAAAGTAGAGTTAGAAAATAACACATCTTGTAAATGCCCATTTAAAAAAAAAATCATAGGAAAAAAAATGTCTTCTAGAAATGACTTTTTGAAATGGAATTGTTAGACCACCTCTGGAAGCGACACTTGGCCACGTTTGTTCAGTGGGTTAAAGGACATGGAGCGGAACACCTTGAGAAGGAAGAGAAGATTCTGTGCCAGACTGGTCATATTTAGAAGACATTTTCATATCATAAGCATTGTTTTGTGTTTCCATTTTATCCTCATTACTGTATATATAGTTCACAAAACTAAGTACTTTTTTGAAATATCTAGTCTTTCTAGATGTTCTGAAGTGCCTGATATATGTTAAAAGTAGAAGTAGTAATACCCTTTGTAAATACCTTTTTGTTAAAATTCATATGAAATTTTGGGGGGGAGTGGCCAAACCACCTCTTGAGTAGTACACATTGTGTTTGTGCAGGGGTTGAGGGGAGGAGGGGAGGACAAGGAAGAGCTCTATGCCAGTGCGCTTATAGTGAGGCAAGATTAACCATAGTTCCTATGTCTGTGCATTTTCTCTTACCTGGGTATATAGTGTATATAAAGGACAAACAAGTCCTAATTTACATTTAGTCTTTCTAGATGTTAAAAGAGGTTGCCAATGTATGACAGAAGTAGAATTAGTAAACTAATATAGTTTGTACATTTTTGTTTTTAAATTCGTAGGAAAGATTGTCTTCTGAAAAATCTGAGCATTAATAGCCCACTGGGTTGGTGGAGGAGGGAAGGGTTCTAGGCCAGAATGTTCATATTTTGAAGACACTTTCAAATTATAACTGTTACATGCGTGCAGTTTATTCACAACTGCTGTGTATATAGTGGACAAATAAAATCCTTACCCAAAACATCTAGTCTATCTAGATGTTTAGAAGTGCCCAACATATGTTAAATGTAGAGGTAGTAAAATATCATTTTGTAAATATCTTTTTGCTGAAGTTCACAGGAAATACTCTCTTTTGGAAATAGAATTGTTAAACCATCTCTGTGAGCAATATAGTACCATCTATACTCATTCAATGGTTTGGAGGCGGTGGGAGGGAAGGAATTGGCAAAAGGTAGTATGCCAGTGTGTTCATACTTGGACATTATCAGATATCAGTTTTCTTATGTTTATTGCATTTTGTTTTGCTGTGTGTATATATGGATATATATAATGTATATAATGGATAAATGAGTCCTAATTTTGCAATATCTATTCTCTAGATGTTAAAGAGGTTGCCAGTGTATGATAAAGTAGTTAGTAAAATTAGCACATTTTGTACACTTTCTGTTGAAATTCATAGGAAAGCTTGTCCTCTGTAAATTACTTTTGGATATGAATTTGTTCAACCATTTCTAAGCATTACATACGCCTGTACTTGTCCACTGGATATAAGGCAGAGAAAAGGAAATGGAATGGTTCAAGGCCAAAATGGTCATATTTAGATGATACTTCAGATTATAACCATTGCTATGTGCATGCAATTTTATTTAACAGTGCTGTGTACATAGTGGACAAGTTCTTATATGAAATATCTAGTCTTTCTAGATATTTAGAAGTGCTTGATGTATTTAAAAGTAGAAGTAGTAAAATAGCACTTTGTAAATAGCTTTTAAAAACTGATGGAAAATATTGTGTTTGGAAGTGGAATTGTTAATCCACCTCTGTGAAGTACACTCTCTACTTGTTCACTAGGTTGAGGGAGGTAGGAGGGAAGAAATTGCAAAGAGTGTTTTGCTTGTGTACACTAGAGAATTTCAGCTTATCCATTGCCCTGTACGTTATGTGCATTCCATTTAACTTTGATGTATTGTATATATTGTATATATACCGGACAGATGAGTCCCAATTGTTATAATATCTAGTCGCTAGATATTAAAGAGGTTGCCAAATGTATGAGCAAAAGTAGAGTTAGTAAGTATAAACATCTTTGACATTGTTGTGTTAAAATTCATAGAAAGGCTGTTTTCATGAAAAGGACTTCTGGCAAGTGAAATGATAACATGCACATCTGGAGTGACACATGTGCCGTATTTCCATTGGGTTGTTGGTGAAGAAGAGTTGGAAGCCAACTGACAGGAATTCCTAGATCACCAATGTTCTTTTTTTTAAGCTAGACACTCTTTAAGCTATAACCATTGTTCACATGTGGTCACACTAACATGTGTATATAGGGGAAACTTAACAGTCCTTAAATTGAAACATCTAGTCTTTCTAGATGTTAGAAGTGGTAACAAAGTAAGTTAAAAGTAGCAGGTAGTAAATAACAATTTTGTAGGCACAGCGCGCTTTTTTCAAAATTCATGAACATGAACTGGCTTTTGAGGGACATTGATCAAACACTTGTCTGAGCACTACATAGATATTTGTCAGCGTTCCAGGGGCGAGGGAAACGCAAAAAGAAAGTGCAAAGGGCCTTTATAACCATGTGGTTATCGGTGAGGTGAGACTGCACTCATTGTCCCTTAGTCTGTGCATTTTATTTTTACTTTGCTGTGTACATAGCTGTCATATAAAGGACTAATGAGTCCTGAATTTACCAACATCTAGTTCTTTCTAGATAAAGAGTTGCCAGTCTTTATCACCACAAGCTCACAGTTAGTCACACAACTACACATGATTTGGCAGTTTTCTAACCACACTTTTCGAAGTTTCACAAACACTTCATTCAGCAAGACTTTTTTTTTTAAAACACACTTTATTTTATCGGGACAGTGAAATGTTAAAAATCCCTCTAAGCATTACAGATGCTTAGACTGCCACTGGATTGGTAGAGGGTAGGAAGGGGAAGAGTTCTACGGTTAGAATGTTCCTCACTAGAGGCATTTTGAGAATTGCGTAGCTTTTGTTATGAAGTGTGCATTCAATGCTAGCTGGTATGCGTGGGATAAAAACTTAAAGTCTATTTGAAACATCTAGTCTTTCATTGAGTGTTTAAAAGTGTCAAACATATGTTAAAAGTAGAGGGCTAAAGTAATACCCTTTGAGTGTTTTTTGTTATTTCATAGGAGTGGTTGCATTTGGGGAATGGAATTGTTAAACTTGATGTCTTAGAGAGTATGCTGTCACTGGGCAGTGGGGGGAGGAGAGGAGAAAGTATGCAGAGAAGGGTTCTATGCCAGTGAGCTAGATTAGTTAACCATTGTTCTATATGTGCATTTTAGTTAATATTGCTGTGTATTAAAGTATAAACAAATCCTAATACTCAAAGTATGTTAAAATTAGAGCTAGTTAAATAATCCCTTTATATATGTCCTTTTGTTAGTTTTTAGGAAGGACTGTCTTCTGGGAGTGACTTTTGTTAATTCACCTCTTGGAGCTAGACTTAGTCCTGTACTTAGTCGCTGGAGTGGGGGAAGAGGAAGGGTGAAGTGAAGGGCTCTTTGCTAGTATCACCATATCTAGAAGATGGCTTTAGATTATAGCCCTCGGTCTATATGTGCATTTTTAGTAAAGTATCTGTTTATTATGGACACAGTTCATTATTTTGCAACACCTAAGCTTTGGAAGATGTCTTGAGGTATGATATGTATGATAAAAAGAACTAGTGTATAGCCATTTTGTGATTATCTTGGTAATAATTGATAGAAGAGATGCATCTTGGACATGGAATTGTTAAACCCTCTCTGAGCAGTGTATATCAGGACTTGTTCATTAGGTTGGCAGCAGAGGAGCAGAAGGAAGTATGAAAGGAGAGAAGTATGCAGATGTGTTCATATTTACATTTTGATGATGGCCATTGATGTGTGTGCATCCCTTTTGGCTATACTATAAGAATATATTCAGTAATTCAGTAGAAACATACCTTCTTGCTAATACTTTAATGATATAGATCTGATAATGAATTCTCTTAGAAACATTACATTTAGTGTTCTCTATTGCTTTATGTTTGATTTTAAATTGAGCATTAAGGGAATGAAGTATTTTAATCGGAACTCTGCCAGTACTTTTATCTAGAGGCCTGTTGCCATTTTTGTCTTCTATGAAATTTTCGTCCCAGGAAAGGCAGGATTACATTTTTTCCTAATAGATTGAGTTGGTGTAGTGTATTCTTGGTTATCAAAATACTCATATAGCTTTGGGATGTTCGATTGGTAAATATTCATGATGTGTGAAAAAGCATGATGCATACTGTACTGTCTCAATCCCATAAAATTGGATGTTGTGTATGTGTCAGGATCTAGAAGGACATGTCCAACTGTGAAATGCTTATGATTGTGGATGACTTTGTTCTTTGCTTCTCGTGTTTTTCAGTTTCCTATATTGCATATATTAACTTTAAAAAATATAAAGGTTATTTTAAGGTGAAAAAAAAAAAGCTTGTCATACCTCTGTGCTCTGAAATAGCTTTTACTTATTCCATGGGATTTAGCAGTTTTTCTTCCATTTAGTTGCCTTGCTGTAACCTACTTGTTATAATGAAAACTCTCACTAATATAAAAGTTGAATTCTAATTGAAATTAAACATATTACAAAGCAGTAAGACACAAAAATAGGAATAGAGATCAATAAATATATTAGAAAATGCCAAACAGAGCTAACTATTTAAAAGATAAAATACACATAGCAAAACTATGGGAAGAAAATATGGTTCAGTAATATTTGAACTGATTTTTTTGAATGTTTAAATAATATTTAATGCTGATGAGTGTGTGATGAGTTAGATACCTTCATATACTGTGTATGAATTAGTACAACCCTCCTAATTTTTT